ACCCTCCTTCTCCCCCTCCTCCTCCGCCACCTCCCCCTCCTCCGCCTTCTCGCCCGGCTGCACGCAACGACTCCGCTACCAATCCTTCCCAACCCCCTCCTCCTTCAAGATCACAAACTCGCGCTCAAGCTCTCAACGTAGCAACGACAGGCGATCAAGGCATTGGTAATCCATCAGGCGCTGCAGGCGGTACCAACCACACTCCTTCGTCCAGCAGGCCTACAGGCAGACTGGCGGAAGTATTCACCTCCGTGGCCGGTCACGCCCGACGAGTCTCGGGCTCCTTCTCGGCAGCACGGTCCTCCAGCCTGGGGTTCGATAGAGTTCGGGAAGGAAAAAAAGGTCGTGGTCGCTTCGACGAGCAAAGAAGGGAGAAAACAGTACTTCGCTGACATGAAAAAGGAACTAATGAAGGAGTACAAAGCCGATCTTGAGGTCCTGTGTGGCAAGGACAACATCAAGTACATCAACAAGAAACAAGCGGTACTCGAGCTCACCATGCTTCGAACACGAGAAGCTTACGACGATGCCGAGGAAGAAAATGATGAGGAGCTCCTCAACGGGACAAGGTTCGATTAGCAAGAGGAGAATCCCTCCTAATATCCTTTTGGGATAAAGGGTGGCTATGGCAGCAGGCCAACAACACCACTCGTGACAACATGAAAAGGTGTGGCATAAAAGGCGCACGGAGTTCTCGCCTTGAGGTTCTGATGAGATTTTTTGTGCTTATGCTAATTGTTGTAGGTGCTATTGAGTGGGGGCACGAATTCGTAGACAGTTGGATAGATTATGTACTACAAGGTCATGACATCTGTTCTGGGGAAGGGCACTGCGTCTACGTCCTGATCTCGCCTTGGTTTAAGGTCACTTACATCGGTTCGACTGGGAGAGGAGTTATGGACCGGTGGAAAGAACATGTAAGACTGGTCAACTCCAATACGAAAGGGAGAAACCACAAATTGAAAAGGTGGCTGGAACGAACGGGATGAGATTTTTATGTAGCCATTCCCCTTTTCTATCCCTCAGAATCAGATCTCCGGGTAGCAGAATCATTCCTCATCTTGCGATGCTCTCCATGCCTCAACAGTAGAATGGATAGAAGAACAAAGACATGTCGAAGAAAAGGCCGAAGGGAAAGAAAAGCCTATCTTAGACAATTTGAACACTCTCCGTCAGTAAAACGCGACCAACGATTGATTGAATGGTCCTTTTCAGCTGGCTCCTCGACTGCTAGGCCGGATGCAGATCATAGTTTTTGCATCATTGAGAAACTGAAAGAGTATTTATGCAACAACTTACACTATGCCGCTATAACATCAAGCGGGGGAGGATTTATCCTCGAGGGGTGGGGCAAATTAATTAAGCTTTTCGGGTGGTCTATCGTTGAGTATAGTGACTGCAAATACCTTTCGAAAAATCTGAAACAGGAAATCCGTAAAGGTGGTAACTTCGTTTTTCTTCAGATCCGATTTAGTCGGAACCAGCATACTTCACGCAAATTTATTCTACTGTAACTTTTGCATTTCCGTTCCTCACGATCATTGCTATTTTCGTTTGTAGGGAAAACATTGGTAAGGTTGTTCAACAATATCGAGTGTTTCCCGTCAAACCGCACTCAGGCTATATTGCGAATTATCGTCGGTAACGTAATCAGAAAAAAAGTTGGATTTAACACTACCACCCCAGTCGTGGTTGAAATACAGTTCAATACTCAAATCATAAAGAGAAAAGTCTTAGATATGTCCAAACAGATCATAAGGAAAAAGTGCAAATCTGATTTCCTCTCGGACTTCATCATTTCTCGTATGCGTTTGGTCTGGTCCAAGAATCGGAGTATTGGTCAGCGCATTCATAACCACCGTGCTTCTGCTTCTACTTCGTCTGAGTATTGTTCATGTAGCAGCTGCCCCGCAGATCTTCCCAGAAACAACAACGGGCACGTAGAAGTTCGCTTCTCTGATATACAGGCAATGCCCGCTCTACTACGGAACTCAAAAAATATTATTTCCCCATCTTCGCAAGTCTCTCTCTCACGGATTAAGTATGCCTTAACGACCCTTACGTGATGGTCTTTGCAGGATACTGGATGATGAACCCTCTACATACAACGGATTTAGAAAATTTTTAAGGCCAGTATGCGATACACAGGAAGATCTCCCAGGTAATCTGTATAAATGGATGGTCAAATTTGATGGTTTGGTTATCGCTCTCATTGACCACAACGCTGGCGACTCCCTGGCTTGCTGCATGAGTATCTACCACGCGGCTTTAACTAAACTGTATTGGAAAAATGACGGGTTTTCTATCGTACCGCTCAGTGAAGAACGCGTCCTAGAGATATGTAAAATAGGATACGAGTCTATCGGAGCTGGTCGCATACAACAGAAAAAATTTCCATGAGAAATGAAAGTTGAAAAAACATTTCATTAAAAAAAAATCCTTCATATTTGTAAATTATCATTCCAATGTTAGTGTAATTCTAAAATTTCCAGTTTTATTTGATAAGTTCCCGTCTAAATATGAGTTTTCTCTTTCAACTACATCTATTTGTTCAAGATGGAATGGAAGTCTGGACGAGTTTATGAAATGTTTTAATTAAATTTTCATTCTACTTTGACAAATATCTTCTAATTTTGATTGGATTAACCTATTTATGACTGAAAATCCTTACTTAGAATGAGAGTCCAATTAAAATATTTCATTAACTCATCCATATTTTCATTCCATCTCTAGCATGCAGTCCAAATAAAAAGGGATACTCTATTCTTGGAATGAAAGTTTACAAATAGGATGAAAATTTTTAAAATTTGAATGACATTTTTTAAGACGGAATGAAAATTTAAAAATTTAGATTGTAATTTTACTATAGAATGATTGTATATTTTTGAAAAATTTCTCTGTTGTAGCATGCTGGAATTCCAAAGGCAAATTAGGATGCTGCTACGATATACCCGAGCACAAGGATGTATCCAGATGACCGATAGCTCCTTCCTTCTCTTAACCTAGTATACGAGCATGCAAACTTATTTCTAAGGTTGTGAACTTTCTACTATGGAATCTACCCCGAGCCTCTAACTTCAATCTTAAAGCAACCAACTTGCTGAAAGACATGATAGTATCACTGAACCACAGATCTCCCAAGACTACCATCGGCCTGTTGACGGCTGCTAGCTACGACATAAAAGAAATGTTCACCAAACTTCCTCACCAGTCCATCATTCGTGCACTAGAGTGGATCTGTTTCTACTACTCTAGTATTGGGAAGAAAAGTATCCAAGTAAACAGACGGGGCAAAGGGGCCTCCTTTAGTACCACTGGCAGTACAGGGGAATCTGGATGGATTTCCCTGAAACTCCGTCAAGTGATCGATTTTGTTAAATTTGACCTTGATCACTGTTTCTTTCGTGTTTTCACTCTGGTCATTCAACAGAAAATAGAAGTACCTATGGAAAAATGCTCCAGTCCGGCATTAGCATGCTTGTTATGTTCCTACAATGAGATTTGTTTCCTCCGTTCGATAAGATCCGACTCTAAGTACATTACGGGGCTAAGATTAGTGGACGATGTTAGTCTTTTTATCTTAATGCCCAGGAATGACCCCTCAGTTATCGACAAGGCCAACAAGCTTCTCAAGTTGTTCGAAGAGTCGTACGATAACAATTTGTCACTGATGAGAACAGACGACAATGAAGGAGGATGAAAATTCATCGGGTGTTCGAATAACTGCTGCAATGCGCCCCCACTAGTGATCTGTACTGCCATCACCAGAATCAAGGATTTATCTGGAGCAACGACCCCATTCAAATCCTCTCAACTCAAGACTTTGAATCATACGATCCCATGAACCAGAAAAAAAGTGTTATCAAATGCCATTTAAATAGGATCTACTCCCACTCCTCAGACCATAGAGGAGTGGGGATTCCCTTGCTTGCTTTAAGGAAATAATTGAGATTGAAGGGGTTCCCCTGTTTCTCAAGGCCCTTACCGAATTTTCCACATCCAATAACAGAAAAATTCCCACGAGAAATGAAAGTTGAAAAAACATTCCATAAAAAAAACATCCTTCATATTTATAAATTATCATTCCAATATTCGTCCAATTCTAAAATTTTCAGTTTTATTTGATAAGTTACCATCTAAATATGAGTTTTCCCTTCCAACTATATTTTTTTGTTCAAGATGGAATGAAAGTCTGGACGAGTTTATGAAATATTTTAATTAAATTTTTATTCTACTGCGACAAATATCTTCTAATTTAGTTGGATTAACCTATTTATGACCGAAAATCCTTACTTAGAATGACAGTCCAATTCAAATATTTCATGAACTCATCCAGACTTTCATTCCATCTCTAGCATGCAGTCCAAATATGAAGGGATGCCCTATTATTGGAATGAAAATTTGCAAGTAAGATGAAAATTTTTAAAATTGGAATGACATTTTTAAAGATGGAATGAAAATTTGAAATTTAGACTATAATTTTAATATAGAATGATTATTTAATTCTAGGAAATTTTTTCGTTGAAGGGCGGATGCTGGGACACATGGGTCAACATTTTTAGGATCGGGCTCGGTAAAAATGGGCGCGGCTCTTCGTACTGGTAGAAATATCCCCTACCTTGCATTCTTTAGGCCTCATCCCACTGCTGCTGCTCCCTCGCTCTTTAAAAATCCCCGCTCTTTCAACTGACCGACTGCTCCACCTGCGTCATCCCTTCCTTCACCTTTTTCCGAGGCAAAGTCTGTTGCCGCCATATCCCAATTTCTTTGTCCTATTCCCAGCCCATCACGCGCTTACCCATATCTGACACCTCGATCCCTCTTCCCTCTACCTCCCACCACTACGGCACCCCATTTCCTCCCGCTGCCTTACTTCCCTTCCTGCACGGGTCTTACCTCTCTTCTTCTGTCCCCTCCCGCCCAGTCACACGCTTACCCCACCTCGATCCCTCTTTTTCCCACCACCACCTACAGCACCCCATCTTTTCAAAAGCCGAAGTGACACGTTTCCTCCCACTGCCTCACTTCCCTTCCTGCAAACGGGTTTTCTACCTCTCTTCTTTTGTCCCCTCCCGCTCAGTCACGCGCGCACCGATACCTGACACCTTGTCCCTATACACGTTTTGCCACGCCCACATCTCCCGTATCCCCCGTATCCTTCAGAGTATCCTATTCTTCTCTCCTGCCCGTCGCTAACTTTACGAAAAAAGCATGACGATCCACCCGTACCCAGCTCGGTTGTACACGGATTCCCGCAATATGACAAAGATAATACGACCCTGTATGGCAACTGGGATCACGACTCGGTACGTACAACATGCGAGAAGCAGTCCAACATTGTTGGCACTACGGTGGTGGGAAAGACTTCGATAGCTGTGGATTGAGTATTTAAAGACGGTAAGCCCTCATTCCCCTTAGCGCATTATAAGTCCCCCTTGCGGAAGCAACCGAAACGCGGCGTAGGGACGTCCGCGATGGAAATTGGCTGTTTCACTCATTTTAATCGAATTTCCGATTTGCGCTAAGGGGTTCTGCTCGTGTGTGCTACCTTCTACCTTCTTCTCTTACCATCTTCTCCTTCCCCCTCCTTCCCTTTGGTGCTCGTCTATTCTCTTCCCGTTTCTCTTTACG